TCGTTTTTGCTATTGGACACTTCCTCCGTGTTGGTTTCGTTGCACCTGTTGCACGTCGTACCGTTTGGTTCCAACAGACTCCGCTATTGGTGTCAATGAGTCGTTAATCGACGATATTCTGTACACTGAAAAATATGTGCGACACCTTATCGCGTGTTAAATCTTATCGCGGCTGGTCGATAGAATTGATTTCTTTTAAAGTAAGTTATTTAGGCTTTCAGAGTCTCTCCCTCTCTCTCTCTCTCTCTATATATATATATATATATCTCATTTAGGTTCTCGTGACTTTGAGAACTTGTGGCAAAAACTGTATAAAAGAAATTAGAATGTCTTATTGAAGTTGCAAGATACAATTTCTTGTAAATTCTAATTCAGACATGCGTCAACAGTAAAATTCCCCGATATATTCATAACTGGACGAAGTTAGTTGATCATTGTTGGACAGGCTGATTGCAGCGGGTTGTAGAGCGGGTAGATACATGGATAGAGCGACACGCTGTAATCATAAGAGTAGGTCGCGAAGACATTAACTCGCGCTGGTGCTTCGTGTTGGCAGACCGCGTCGACCCACTTCCCTTCCTTTCATGCTTTCTTCCTTAAGGCAAAGTCGAAGGCACTAACGAAGGCTCGGATGAATTTCATAACCCACGAGAAGTCCGCGATGACTCTATTACGCTTCGCAGCTTCTTCTTTTTCCTTTTTCGCTTTCTTTCTTCCTCGCTCTCATCCTCGCGTTAGGTTGCTAATTTTCACAACGCACCTTGCTGCTACCTTGTTTTTATCTTTTTCTTCTTTCGTATCTGCATGCAGTATATGCACGCATACATTTCCTATACAGTCGCTAGAAAGCATATAGAATCCTCGTTACATCCTTTTACGTGCTTACTTTTTTTTAGATAGATTATACCTTGGCGATCGAAAGTACATAATTAATTCCACGAACGTTTGTTGCAATTATAAGGCTAATTTAATCGTGAATATGGCGATACCGTTTATTTGAAGAAAATGTAGCAAGTGGAAAACTAAAATGTAGTTAAATCAGTTAATTTATTTATTATCTGCAATTCTCTCAAAAATCACGATGAAAAAAATTAGAAAAACTGATGAGAAGAAAATTCCAGTAACGGATAGTTAAGTATTTCAATTTTGAAAAACGATAACAGAAAGTTCTTGCTAATGATAAGTAATAATTAAATGCTAAAGTGAGTAATTGCTGTCAATCAGCAAAGTATCGATTTGTTAATTTCGAGCGTCGAATAAACTATTCGTGCTATGGCTCGTTTCCTAGTCTCGGTTAGGTAAATGACGGTAAACCGTAAATACTCGCAGCATCGTCTAAGTTGGACCAAGAAGAGCGAATGAGGGGAATCAGCCGCCTCTTGAGCTAGTATCCGTTAACTCGAGTCAATTACTACAACAGAGAACCATGGTTCGTCGTGCACAGGAGTAAAGTGGTCTCTCGGCGTGCTTCAACTTTCAATTAACTATATGGCACGATGATAAACAGACGGGCGATGACAGCTGAGACCTTAAATTTTCTCTTTTATAATCGTATTACCGCTTTTGCAGCTCAGTGACATTATTGCATTATATTACGTTACGAACATTGCACATGGCAATAAATCACTTCTTCTTTGTCAAATGTGATTTGGAATCGTTAATATAATAAATATTAGTTATAATTTATCATCTTATTAATATATTCATAAGAATTACACTTTTATGTCTGATATTTTGGTAATCGTGTAAAGTTTTATCGGTTTTAATTGTTTTTGTCTCCACGATAGATGCAATTGTATCTTTGGGCATTGGTAATATCGGTGATTGCTGTCGAATAAACTAGTAGTTATATTGTGAGCCATCTAATTCCATGCGTCTCGAATAATTGCTCCCTTGTTTCGATTGGATGTGACTCAATCATTTATTAAGCGGACGCTAATAATTCATTGGGTAATTCGGAGCGTTCGCGAACTCGCACGAATTGATGTTTGCATCCTTAATGCATTTCCACGTCGCTCCGGTGCACACCGGCTTAGACGCGATTTGCGCTTTGCGGAAACTCCGTGTAGGTAGTTTACGAAACAGGGGCGCTTCGCATGGCTCCCCCGTGAAGGCTGCTATTGCTCGATGTAGGTCGCGCGTTAATGACCAGTGCGTAGCGACGAGTTCAATTGAATTGTCGGTTTCGCAAGAAACGAGGATGTCACGCGTGCGAAGTTTCGCACAATGCGTATGACACAATCTTACGTTTTATTCGCGAGTCTATAATTTTAAAAAATTCATTTCCTCGAAGAGAGCGGTCTATCTCTGAAATTAAATAAAAACAATGACTTCTGACAATTCAAATAACAAAAACGGATAAGGGTAGATAATTTTCATCTGAAATTATCTGGAGAATATATGTTTACCTGCTCTCCCTTTCTCTCTTTTTCTCTGCGGCTTAATTAGAATTAAATTCTTTAGTTTTTCATGCGTTTATAATTCAGGAACTTTCAATGCCTTGACATGTTTATCAGAGAAGAATGTACTGCAGTTTACGGGAAGAATTCATATCTAAAACAGAACACGGGAAACATCTCGTATATCAGCGGCAGATTAGGAACGGCGGCCTTAATAAATCGGGGCAATCTCGTCAAAGTGGACACGACACAACGTATTGTCCGAACCGGCATTCGTAATTTAGGACGGATCAAAGGTAGGTCGGATGGTTAAGGTTCGCGGAGGGCGATCGGTCAGCAGGTCCCCAGGTGTCAGGTGGTACCCGGCCGCTTCAGACCCGCCGAATCACCAGCACCCGGCCAGTCGCCACCATTTCCACATAGGAAGCGACTAATGTCCTCGCTCATTTCCCACGATATATAGGCGAGTGCCGCATCGATTCTCGAAGCACCATCCGCCTGCCCGACGCGATATTAATGTTTAACTAGCGCGATCGTGTGTCTGATACATTACGGTTGCTCCCGGGGTTGAAATTGTTGCGCGCTGCGCTACACGCCCTTTCCATAATGGTACACGTTGCGCGAGTACGAGACATGCGAATTGCAGAATTTGTCGAAATTGTTGCGCTGCTGTTATTGCAATACTATCGTGCATCGAATTGTCTTCTATTATTGGCTCGGTGCGTAATTGGAATTCTATGTTGTTCGACATTTTCAGATATTTGCGAATTTTCAAATTTACCTGAGACAATTTTTGTATCGTAATTTTAATAAAGATTATATAATAAAAAAAATGTATTTTTTTGTATGTACTCGTAAAGGACAGTTTTACTAAAGTATCTAAAAATTTAACTACGCTATGTTAAATTCAAAATGTCAAATATTTTTTTTACCTAATTTGAGCTATCATTTTTAGTCATTGATATAGGTCGCTACTATCCGATATATCATTAATTTGATTAACAATCAAGTTAAATAATTTAAATTAAATAATTTAACTTAAGAAAATTAAATTTGATTCAAATTTAGTTTATTATCGACGATGTTTATATACGGACGATGTTTATTTTGAAATTAACCACAAAAATCGATTGATTACATTTTAACACAGACGGAAATTAAAAATAACAAAATGTCATTTAACTTAAGAGATTGAGTTATCATTGCTCCTTTGACATCTAACAGTATGAGTACAGATCTAAAAATAATTTTGTTGGACTATCAAAATAAGTGCGTAGGAATCTCAAGTATGATAAGCAATGCTGTAAAAAGTTTTGACATTCTAGCAACAGTTTGAGTCAACAACCTCCTACATAATTATTTTGATAGTCCAACAAAATTACTTTCTGTATCTAGCTAAATTTTTAGATATTCTAGCAGAACCATTCCGTTCGTATAATCGTATATCTAGAAATATATGTTATATATTGATTGGATTCTCATATGCCTGATATATTGATTATTTTTCGTTATCACGCGTCTTGAACGCGTTACAACAAACGTTATTTCCTACAGCCGTGGGCAGTCTGTCGAATTACGGGTTAGGTACTTGGAGACAGGCTCCTAATTCCGCTTCTAATAACCAGGGCTAGTTATAAGCGCCCGGAAGCACTTTGTACTGTCAACCTTGCGAATCGACCAAATGGTGTCCGTGAACGCAAATATTTGCGATAATACAAATTATATTGTTATACCTATATTAAAGAGAAAATAGAAATTTGTAATTTTATATGTACATTAAACGTTTCTGGCATTTAAAATATTGCGAAATTTTAAGAGATTTTGTTTTTTTAAATTCTCGATTATGTTAAAAGAGAAGAAAAGGAAAATTTTCAGAAATCGGGGTGTATAAGCCTCATATACTGTATTGCAATTCCTATGGTACTCGTTTTCCGACAAGCTTTTTCCACGTTACTCGTGGAGCAACAGATGTTTCCGAACAAATTAAAGGAAGAGTGACAAGGACAAGAGGGAGGAAGAGAAAGAGAGAGTTTTTGGCGTCGTTAAACTGAAGCGCCGCGCCGTGCGAACTTTCCAATTGTTGAGAGTGAATATTATTCTTATTTTATTCGCTGAAGGTGGCGAAAGCGGAAAATTCTGTCCGTACTTCGCGGTTATTTGAAAACGAGCTTTCCCAGTTCGATAGATAATGACCGAAACTCTTGAAATTCAGAAAACTCGGGAAGCTCGCAGTCTTATGAGAACGCTCGGTTCTCTCTTTTCTCCAAAATTTCGTTGATTACATAATTCCGAATATTTGCGAATTGGAAAGTAGATGGAACAATATAATGGTGTGTGTAAAAAATATAATTTTTACTGCTTCATATGGAAAATAATCTAGTTACAGAAAACTTTAATTTGCGGTTTTTCGAACTGGAATACTTTCACGTGATATTTCAGTAATAAATTAGCGATATACTGGTTGTCTACAATTAATCATTATTGTTGACGTTTAGAAAAATGGGAAAATGCGCTAAATCGTTGATCCGGAAAAAACAAAATGAAAACGTTTGGAACAGTAATTAAGAAGTTATTAAGAAGTTATATTTGTTGTGGTTTCAGGTTCGCTGGGCACGTCGGTATTCGACACGGACGTGTACCTCGTCGGAGCGAGCGGAGGCGTTTACGCCCTTCTAGCGGCGCATCTAGCCAACGTCCTTCTGAACTATAACAATATGGAGTTTGGGATAGTTCGGCTCATCGGCATCTTCGTCATCGGTAAGTGGACCTTACTTCCTCGATCGTCGGCCCGCAACCACCACAGCCAATCCTATCTACCTTCGACCTGCTAACTCGATATCTCCGATCGAACTGCTTTCGAGAGCGATCACGATTGACCAATGGCGCAGACGGTAGTAGACATTTAATCATGCCTGTTACTTGCTAAAGGCTTACAGAGAAATTATTAGAATTTAAATAAATTATTACAATACAGGGTAAGATGATACAATTTCGAACGAAATAAGATTTTAATCCAATTTTTGAAATTTAAGTTTGAGTTTTTCCTATTTGATATCCTTCAATATCCTCAATACAATGAGAAAGTTACCAAAATTGAATCTCGAAAATTGGATTCAAATTTTATTTTGTTCGGAATTATATAATATCATGTTCGAAATTGTACCATCTTACTCTACAAACTGTTACTTGATAAGTATAACTTACAAATATTGTTACGAATTCACGTAATAAAGAATTAATCCTCACTATGGAAAATGATTTTTATAGAATTATAACGTATTTGTGATGTAAATAAAAGAGGATTAATCTTTTATGAAAAATTTAAAAGAAATAATTAAAAGCTGAGAAGAACAGTTTCTGAACGATACTTCATCAATTTCCATTAGTCTCTTTATAAAGTAGTGAAGACCTTCATAGTCGCGAATTTGCAGACACGTCCTTAAGGATTAAGATGAAATATCTCGGACCTCCGAACACAATACAATCTCAGAACTGGGCGCCTATGGCGACGTAGTGTAATAATAGCGCGATATTGGCAAAGACGTAGACTCTAGTATCGAAGACCTGTATAGCACGTAATTTAACCGCCACTGTACGTGCACATTATCTGGTTCTAGTGGCCCTAGAGTCGCCTCAAATTCACCTCGACGGAGCCTCTCAAGTCTTCAATAACCTTGTTTAAGGGGTTGATTACCGTCAGCACGGATATCCGCCGTCGGTTTCTCCCTCTCTGTCTCATTCTCCCCTACTCGCACCATTCCCAATATATCCGCATAGTTTCTGTCCGCGGGTGGTAACAGCCCGGGCCCGTTCCGATCTACGCGCTTCGACTTGGATTACATCGTAATCCCAGCACGAGAGCTTGACGGGTGAAGTAGAGCTTGATCGATAAACGCGCTCTCTCACGATGTGGAAGCGGGTCATCCGTTCAGCCGCGAATGCAAATGACGCTCTCGCAGGAGTCTGCGACGTGGCGAGGTGTCTTCTGTCTCCTATAACATCTTAAGATGCGAAGAAAGTGCGCCACTATCAACTGCAATCAGAACTCTGTGAAGGAATGAGAGAGAGAGAAAGAGAGAGAGAGAGATTTGAATTTTCATATCTTAGTTAGAACATTTCCGAATGTTGACAATTCCGTTTAATTAAGGCAACAGATTTGAAAATGGGATTAATATATTTTATTTGTTAAATCTAATAGTCATATCGAATTTGTCGATTAAGGTATCGTTTTAATATTCTTTTCGCGATTCACTTTTATTTACTATCATCTAGTCGTTCGATTTCCTCGCGCTTCATTTCGATATACTTTTCCTGAAATTTCAATTTCCGCTTTTTTTCCCCGCGATAAGAGCTGAAAAGCGCAAGGGAAGGAAAAGCCATGAAAGCCGTCGCTATTTTGAAGTTTTAATTAAAAGATAGGTGTGCTCGTGCTGTGATCGTCGCGAAGAATTTTTGCCGACATTGAGATTGTTTGCTACAAGAAGAACAGGTAGTTGGTCCGTCAATTTTTAAAACAAGCACGATGTCGACACTCATGTTTATTGAGTCATCAAGCTCGCACCTGAGTAAGCCTGGTTGAAAATTAAAGAAGAGATGCGGTATTCAAAGATGATGGAACAATAGCTGGTTGGAATGCATCTCGATGAAAAAAAGGAGAGAAAGTTGGAAGGAATTAAATAAATTTTCGCGTGACGAGGAAATTGCAATTTTAATTATATAGATAAATGTAATTTAGATAGAGAGAGAGAGAGAGAGATGGCGTATAATTATTAAGCGAAGTCTACGGAATAATCGTATATTGATCATGATTAATTTTAATATTGAAACGGATGAGGTCTACAAATTACTGAAAGTGCTTCAGATATAATAATGTATAACCCAATATTAACTAGCTAATATTAACTAAGCTTTCATCTAACAATTCCATTAAAATTGGATTATATAAGCTGAAACGGAAGATAGCACAGAATTGGTATAGAAATGAAGGACATTGCTTATGATAAAAAAAATACGACAATAGCATATTATATAATGAATATATAATATGCTATTATAGATATACCGATTGCAGTCGAGAAAATAAAGTTAGGATAGCGGATAGACGGAAAAGCTTGGAAAGGGTCCAGTTTTTATTACTTCAAGAGTTGTATAACTCAACCTTACTATCCAAGTTAAACGATGGCAACAACGACGTAAAGAGATCGCGTTTGAAAACAGAGAAAGAAAACAGTATAAAGGATGTATATCAGAATTTGTATACTTCCTCAAAGTTTTAAATGTCTCGATAAGTTTAAAGTTCATTTCTCGTTAACGAAAATTTTAAACTCAATTGTAGAATTACTAAATGTCGAAAATGAAATATCTCTTCATAAAAGGATAATAAAATATTTTCTTCTTTATATCTAAATTATATTAATTTAATTGTAACTATAAATTAATTTATAACTCAGTTATTAATTATATTTTAGTTTTTTTTGCAGTTTTGGTATACAATATGTACAATAATTATAAAAATTTTAAAGAACGCTATAACTTTATTAAAATATAAATCTCTTAGAAATGTAAAACCTTATGAATTACTCATAACGTTTATGAGAATCTTTAAAAGAAATGTAATAATTTGCATTTGTTAAGGAGATAAAAAAATTTTCTAGAGAATGTGTGTAGGTTCGTAGAAGATGAGAATACTTAATAGATTACGAAACTAAAGATGAAAATCCGCACACTACAACTAACGAAGAAGAAAATTACTTACGGGAATACAACAAACTTACATAATCATCGACGATGGTCGCAGACGTAGAAAAAAAGCCGTTGCAGGAAGGAAGCTGCAGGAAAGCTCTTCTCTCGACGACACTTCGAGAGCTTCTCAAAGCTTACCGTCGGCTCGGCTCTTCGTGGCATCCTTACTTTTTTGCTCTACTCTCTTTCGCTCTACTCTTCTTTCTTGTTTTTCTTCTTGTTCCTCTCGTGTTCTCCTTATCGCTTTACTATGCATTTTTATCTGTACTTTCAGAACAGACAGCTAAACAGAATTTTTAAAAAGTATATGCCATGATAAGCTCATTATTCCTTTATTTTTATTTTAAATTAATCTATTAATCTATCTACACTGTTGTATTAATACCCTACTAATTGTAAATTCTATTAATTTGAAAGATAATAAAAGTAGAATCTGATTTCGATTTAAAATTAAATAAATAAGACAATTTAAATTTAGATACACTGTTAAATCTATAGTGTCAAAATTTTAATCTAATGTAAGTCGCCACTGCTCTTATTCAATGTATCATTATTTTATCCATTGTTTTAGTATAAAACAATTGATAAAATAAAAATATATTGAATAAGAGCAGTGACGACATAATAGATTAAATTTAACGCTATAGATCAGTGTAGATAAATTTAAATTGAGACACGCGTGGAGAAACGAAATATTATATATCATGCGTAATAATTCTAAACAGACAGTAATAAATATCCATGGAAATTTTAATATTTCTGATTGCAGCCAGCGCCGACGTGGGCTTTGCGATCTACGACAGATACGCCGCGGAACAGATGGGTCCGCCAGTATCGTACGTCGCCCACCTGACGGGCGCCCTGGCGGGCCTAACGATCGGCCTCCTGGTACTGAAGAACTTCGAGCAGCGGCTGCACGAGCAGTTACTCTGGTGGGTTGCCTTGGGTGTCTACGCCGCCTGCACAATCTTCGCGATCATGTACAATCTGATGCACCCCGACTATCCATGACGCGAGGTCAGCTTCGCGTACGGCCAACCGAGGCACACGTAACGCGAAGCTGATCGCCCTTGGAAGAAAAAGAAGAAGAAGAAACGAAGGAAAAGATGGGAGAGACCGTCATCGAGCAACGTCGACGGAGATTTTCAAGTATCCCGAACTCTCAATAACACACTAGACCGTGAGCTAAATCGTTCCCAAAACACCAAAAGCGAAGGATACGTAAGGAACGAGAGTTACGCGACGGAGTCGTCGACAGTTGTTCTCCTCGAAGAACGTGACTTCGATCACTTTCCGTGCGAAAAGGATCGCGTAATAGTTTCGTAGTACATATATTTTCTTCCAAGCCGGCCTGTTCGCGCGCGACAGTCAAGAGAGACAGAGCGCTTGTCGAAAAGAAGCGACAAACGAGCGAGGAAATATAATTTATTATTGATTAAAAATTCTAAAACAAATGAGAAAATTTTGAACGGAAGCAATAATAATCGGTAAAAGCAAACGCGGTATACTTCCGGAAGAAGAAAGAAACGGGAAGAAGAAAATTGAGCGAATGTTCTCATTACGTTTCATCTTTCCTGCTTGATAACAGTAGTCTGCGTTTGCCCTGCAATCCCGTGAAAGCTTCTTAAACGCAACGTGGGACTACTTCATCACGGAGGAATGCGGGCAATTTTGTGAACGGTGTAATCATAAAAAAAACCAACTGTTAGACTCGTGTTCTCCTGCCATCAACGGGACAAGGAAACGTCATTGTAGCAAGATGGGTCATCTTGAGCCACGATAAAATGTCTTCGCGTGTCGTTCTAGAGAACGACGGGGCAGTGCACGGGAAAGTTACGGATAATATTCTACTTCGTCGGTCTCCGGGAAAGAGGAAGTCGCGTGATCGCGAGACTAGTCATCCAATCCCGTCGTCGCGCACTCTTCCGCATTCTGAAGAAAAACCAAAGAATCGAACTGGATTTCAACAATGTCGGCTAGCCATCCGGGAAAAGTAAAATCCTTCAGGAAGGAGGCATTTCTATCCAAACCTGAACAAGAGGAATTCTCTCTCATGGCGTTCGTTTATTTCCGCGTAATGCTGGCCGCAGTCGTCCTCGGAAAAACCAAAGAATCATACTCGGACTGTGTGGACAACGCTTGTTGTCCTTTGTCACGTTGCTGAAGAAGTTTCTTTGCTCGGTGACGAGAAGCGGAAAAAAAAGGAGATGATGATGATAGAAAGAGAGAGAAAGAAATGGAACAACGGCGAAGTAAAGCAACAGAAGAGGTAAAGAGGAAACGGGTGGACTTAATGGATCCTTCGCGGTCGATGAAACATTGTACAAATGACCGCGACGGAGAGGTACGAAGATGATGAAACAAAAACCGCGGTCGAGAAAATTGGTAACCATCGACGTTCCTCTCGAAACCCTCTCGAAACATTCGACTCGCGAGACGAATTTCGTGGACGTGGACAGAAACGTAGAAGAGCAGAATGCGATTTGATGATGAATTCGAGCTTGATGATGAAGAGCTCGTGCCGGTGGAAGATTTTTTTTTCGAAAGCGATGAATGATTAGCCGCGAAGAAATTTTTGCAGAAAAAGGACAAATTAATAATTGATCGCTAATTCGATAGTGTGAAGAATACTGTTAATCGAGTTGCGCAAATAATTGTGAAGTGTTTATGGAAAGTAATGTGAGTATCATTTATAAAACACAGATCTTTTTTTTACATTACATCCGCTAGAAGGCCCATTTGTGATGAAGATACTTCGAATTATCACGAAGATATCCTAAATTAATTAGAATTTATTTTATATTTCTCAAATTTTTGTAATCATTCACAATTTGACGTTACTACTATTTTCTATAAATGCTTCACAAATGTGCACAATTGTCGAGTTTATGTATTATTTTTTACGACGTGTGAATACGCGATAATCTCAAAACAAAGATCGCTGATATTCGAACATTTATCATCGCATATAGCTAGATCGATCACCATAGGAATGCAAATTCCAGTCATATAAAATTCATCCAAATAGCCGTTGCATTTTTTCCAGCGTTGTAAAAACTCTAGGAATCGACATGATGAATGCGTGCAAAAAAAAAGACATTGTCAACTTCGCTTGCGAAAATTGAAACTACCTACGAACGCAATGCCGTCGAAATGCGTACTGTATCATTGTAAAGAAATACTATTTGATATTGCAGAAAGATAATATTTCGAGATAAGCATTGGACTATCATTTGTGTACATAAATCAAGCAGCGTTTACGCATCGTTTCGACGCGCATTGCAATTCGTGCGGTTGTAATTTTCGTGAGAGCTCTCGCGAACTTTCCGCATGATGGACGTAATAATGTGCAATGCAACGGCGATCAAGCCTATGACAAAACAACATTCGGCCGATCTGCCGGTCGGTTTTCAGTCTACGCTTTCGATAGCGACCGCTCGTTAACGTCCTCGCAAAATCCCCCTGACGGCGCATCTGCCTGCGCGCGCGATCATTAACGCGCATTAATTGTACACCATTGTAAATACCTGTATATAGTATAGAGACTCTGTGTGTGTTTTGCGTGTGTATGGAGCACAAGTAAAGAAGAGAGGCGCGAGACAGAGCAAAGAAGAGAAAATAAGAAGAGGAAGGGAAAAAGAGAGCTCGAGTCGGGTCACAGTCTAGTCGTTTCGCGTCGTTGTCGTAAGTATATATACATATACAAATATACATATTGTATTTAAAGAGAGAGAAAGAGAGAGAGAGAGAGAGAGAGAGAGAGAGAGAAAGAGAGAGTGAAGAAAAAGCCGCACATTCTCGGGAGAGCACACGCTTAGTGTAAATAGTCACACGCGAGACATATGTTCCTCACCTTTAATTTATCATCGTGTCATCGTGTTTTCGAAATCAGATCGTACGATTGCCGCCCGCGTGACTTGCGACCTAAACTGTGTCGACGATAGCTGGTATTCTCTATGTTTAGCGTTCATTCGCGGCCTCTTCATGAGCTGTCTAGACTGGTATTTTCCCAGCGCGTTTAGCCGCAAACATGATTGTTTGATTTCCATGGAGAGAGAACATTTATTTGATATATCTTCGCTACATTAAACAATTACCAATTAAATTAATCAGCGATTAATCTACAAATTGATTTCACAATCACGAATTCAAGCCCTTCTAAACATTACAATGATATAAATTAGTAAAACGTTCATTTTTTTTAATTATTTTTCTTATTATATAAGAATTTAATTTATTTATTAAATAGAATTTAATTTATTTATTAAATAGAATTTAATTTATTTATAGAATTATAAGAAAGTAATGTATCACTGATGTCAACTGAGATTACGAAAGGGCTTGTCTTTGTTCACCTCGGAATATGGAAAGTCTTAACTTTGCTTGAGGGCTCATTTAACGTTGAATGCACGGTGACTGATAAAGTCCAAAATCAGAAGCTAAACGTGGCGCTGAACAAAGTTCGAATACTGCGAGCTAAAGTCTGTACAGTAGTTTGGATAGTGTCGCGGTATGTGTCTCTCTAGTATTTAGTTTGTATAGGTTGTTCGTTTTGCGAGGTAGCCCGACGCACTGCCTGTTTTGTAATACGACTTAGCGCCGTGCGCGCCTTCGTTTCCTCAAAGTCCGCCGTTCAACACAATTTGTGTGTTACATAAATTCCGTTAAACGTTATTACCTACATTTTTCTATACTTTCTCGCGAAATGCCGGAAGAGAAAAAACGCGTTTGATTTCGCGTATGTGTTCTTGTGTAATAATTAATTAGCGATTATACTGTCATATTCCTAGCGACGGCGCGCAAATTTATAATTCCGCGAAATCCTATATTTATTTTTCGTAAAAAGAGAAAACCAGCTGTGTTGTCCACGAATCCCACGTGTACGAAGCCCAGTTCTTTCCGATACTTTTTTGAGTCTTTTCCTCGGCTCTAGGAAACCCCACGCGAGTGCCACGGGATGAAATGTGAAATCGTCAATTAGTCGACGACTGAAAATTATTTTCCTATATTTACGCGATTTAAGGTAGCGCGTTTAACGTTCAGGAGAAAAAAAATCGAAACTCTGCCCGGTAGGTTCCTCATTATTTCAACGGGGATCAAACTAATGTATTATTATTTATGTTGCACTGATTGTAGTGTAATAACGCTAATATACGATACCAAATAATATATAAGATTTAGTATGAAACAGTAATATATTATATTATTTTATTAATATTATTGTTAATACTATTGCTATCGCATTTTTCGTGGCACCAAGGAAGAAAGCAATTTTTAATGCTGGTGTGTGGCATGGCCTCAATGGCGTAAAGTAGTCCTCGGAAAACAGAAAGAGCGCCAAGAGGACGCGAATCGAGCGCGAGCGAGAGATCAAACGAGAGTAATTAACGATGCTAGTCAATTAGTACCCGCGAAGGCAGCTAACGCCAGATCCTAGCTTAAGGTACGACGGCTATGTAAGACGCTTTAAGACGATGAAAAAAGGTCGAGATACCGATGACGCTGAGAATGAAGGGTGACGCAAAGAAGAAAGAAAAGAAGGAGGTCGAGGGGTCTAAGAAGGTTTAAGGATTCAAGAACACTGAGAGAGCGAAAAGAAGACGCTGAAGAGC